ACATAACCCATCCTTTGAGGGGGCACAGAATAGGCCCAAGTAGGTGTGCTTACAGACATCTTTCACCCATTTCCTGTGGCTTACCAGTGGCCTCGGAAATTGCCTCTGGAGCATTCAGTCGGCCCTGTTTCATTCCTCAGCTCAGAAGGATCTGGTGGTTAGGGAAGGGAGTGGATGTTTGGAGGCCCCTCAGAGGCTGAGGTCCAGCCTCTGATTCGAGTAAGAAGAGTTAGTTGCTGCTCGGTCACCCTGGAGAGAAGTCTGTGTTCTCTCCTCTCTGACAGGGGAGGTGGGCCCAGAAAACTGGCCACGTGGTACATACAACAGTGAAACTATGTCCCCGGCACAGAGGTGCCACTTTGAGGATGAGATACTTCTGAACCGAGAGAAGGGATGGCATGCAGGTGAGATTCTGATTTTCTGATTTAGGAGGCCCCAAGATGGTAAGGAGACCTGAAGTTTCACAGAGGGTCTGAAAGCAAGCATCTCTCGCTGACTTTCTCTTGGGTTTTTTACTTGCCCCCCTAGGAGGATTGGGTCTGGCACCTTGGAGGCAGACCTGAAGGCACTAAAATAATTTACTTCTTTGAACCCAGGCCAAGTGAACAAAGGAGTGGAGAGACTCCAGCTTCTCTTGAGTGGGAGAGCCTGGTCCTCTGAGCCAGGAGCACATTCGAACCTTTGTCTCTTTCCGGCTTGTTTTCATGTCCTGCCCTGTGTGCTGCTCTTACTGCTTCTGGAAGGTGTCCTTGAGGGCAGCCGGCTTGGCTCCCTGGAAGGACTGGAGGGGCCCGCCCATTTCCACAGCCTTAATAGATCGGGCTTCGTCCTGTAGCCGGGCCCACACCGTGAGGACCCCTGCTCAGCTTCACCGTCCAGCTGCGTCAAGAGCTGTATGTGTTCTCTTCCTCTCTCCTTTCTTTCCTCCAAGAAGCTCTTGTAAACTTTTTTTGTTCCTAAGAATAACTGGTAGCTAAAGAAAAGAGAAAGCTCTCCTTTTGTGTCTGCCAAAAGGCCAGGGTCATTTGGATTTGAAGTGTCTTAGCAACTTTAAGATCCCTGGACCAGGACTTCTTCCTGCCTTGCAGTTGTTTTTAGGTGCTCTGGGGGGTGGGTCATGTCCTGAGCGTTAGATCAGGCAGCAGGTTCTGAATCTGAATCTACTCAAGCACTTGAGGCTGGACCGGCCACACTGAGGGGCCAAGGGGCCACAGGGTTGGCGAAGAACAAATGTTTTGTAAATGCTGACTTTGACATGAATGCCCATCCAGGTAACGCCGCTAAAGTTCTGTGGGATATCTCACACTTGGGGTGATTTTGTGTTTGTTCTGAATGTTTTGAGGTTGCTGCAGATAAATTTGAGAAATAAAGCTGAAGTGGGAACCATTGTTTGTTTTATTAAGAAGGCATCCTATAACACATGCTGGCCTCTAAGGTGTACGTGGGGGGGGGGTGGAGGGCCCTGCACAGGTCTTCAGGGCATGTTATGCCTGGATTTGGGGTGCTCGTTGGGACTGACAGATCTGGTGGTTGGGAAGAGCTGGGGGCGCTTAGCTGGCTCAGGCAGTAGCACGTGAGACTCTTGATCTCAGGTTGTACAGGTGAGCCCCATGTTGGGTGTAGAGATTACTTTAAAAAAGTCTTTAAAAAAATTGGAAAGACCGCCTAGAGACCTGCAGGGTTTTCCAGACCTCCTTGGGGAGCCAGCGTGTGTATTTTATGTCTTCATACAGCAGGGAAGTGGTTCAGAGTGTGCGGACTTTCCTTTCATTCAGACCTGGCTTCAGTTCACGAAAAATTTAATTTCTAGCTTCACTACTTGACTTGTTGGCTATGGATCATGTTTTCTAATCTCTGACAATTTCCTGATCTTTTAGGTGAGGATAAGCATCCCAAGTTCTCTTCAAGGAATCCGTGACTGTCAGGAGCCTCTCAGGGTTGACCAGCTGCTGTTCTCATCTCTCTGCCCTCCTTTGCTAAAGCCACACAGCCCTCCCCCCCCCCGCCCCGTCCTTCGCTCTGACAGCACGACACATGCCTCAGACAGATGACAGGGTGGTCGGGTAGAGGACTATTTGCTTTGTACAATAGATTTGAGCCATTTGGGCCTAAGATCCCACCTGCTCCCTGTATTAACTTCTGGGTCTCAGTGTAGATTTGAGAGTTGTTAGTCTCAGGGGAACACTTTACAACCCGCCTTTGTGCTGATGGCTAATCCACCCTTTGTTTGACTCAAAGTACATTCCTCTGAAGACTGAGATTTTCTGTCCCCAGATTCTGTGCATGCCCCATGTGTGGAAGCTACAGCCTGGAATGTCTGCTGGTATATTTGTGGTGGGGGACTTGTGTCATGTGTGTGCTATAGGCCTGGAGCAAAGTTTCACAGGGGTATTCCTGATAGTTGCAGTAGCAGCTCAATATCTGGGCTGGGAGGGAATCAAAGTGGAGGAACCCTGCTGATATAATCAAATTATAACATTTCATTGAGTACTTTCTATACGTCAGGCACTTCCTGACTTGCTGTAGCTCATGTCATTAAATTTGCACAGTAGGGCGCCTGGGTGGCTCAGTCGTTAAGCGTCTGCCTTTGGCTCAGGTCATGATCCCAGGGTCCTGGGATCGAGCCCCACATCGGGCTCCCTGCTCGGCGGGAAGCCTGCTTCTCCCTCTCCCACTCCCCCTGCTTGTGTTCCCTCTCTCGCTGTGTCTCTCTGTCACATAAATAAATAAAATCTTTAAAAAAATAAATAAAAAATAAATTTGCACAGTAATCCAGTGAGGTATATACCCATTTTATAGATGAGAAAACTGAGGTAGAGAGCCCAAGTAACTTGCCCAAGGTCACTCCTATCTGGCCAGCAGTGGTTCAGAAATTCAAGCCAGGTCTTTCTGACACTAAAGGCCAGGGTAAGCTGCATCACTATTTTTTTTTTTCTAGGATTTTATTTTTTTAAGTAATCTCCACCCAACGTGGGGCTCAAGCTCACAACCCCGAGATCCAGAGTCATAGGCTCTGCCAACTGAGTCAGCTGGGCGCCCCTGTATCACTACTATGAGTGACTCTAGAATGTTAACTCTGGTTAAATATCTTGCCCAAGACTTCACCACTTGTAAGTGGCAGAACCAGAATGCAAACAAGCCTGCTCTTAAGCACTCTGCTCTAACTCCTCTGTCATAAGCAAAGGCCCAGAGGTGGAATGACCCACTGTGGGGCCTGCCAGAGCCCTGGGAGCCTGGGAGGCGTGGAAATGCCTGCAGTGATTGGGTTCCTGGGTCTAGATTAAATAGGCTCGTTCCCCACCCCCCAGCGCCCGGCCTGGTGTTTGTTTATTTCCCTAATTAAATTATAACTATACTGAGGGAAATGATTAACAAAAGAAAGTCATCATCAGCTCTGCTAACTCTGAGACCTATTTTTCCCTGTTCCTTCTCACTTCCTAACTTGGTTACATAATCATTCTGCTTCTTTGCTTAACATTAAACTCCATTTTTATAGCTGCATACTATTCGATGAAACTGATATAATTCGCCTGACCATAACTTTCTGCCTGTAGCCTTTTTTATTTTTGGGTTGCTTCTATTAGTACACATTCTAAAAGTAGATGTAACAATTCAAAGGATTGAAACGCTTTTATTATCATAACTTTCAAGAGTCTGGTGATTTATCTAGCCACCAAGCAGTCTCTTACTCTGTTGTTAGATCTCACTGACATTCGGTTTTGTATTTTTTTTAAACGTGTTTCGCTGTTTTAATAAGCAATAGCACCATCCATCTTTTAAGTTTGTATTCTTTTTTTTTTATTGTAGTTGCCATACAATATAGTAGTCTCAGGTGTAGAACATAGCGATTCGACATTTATATATGTTACACGCTCACCACGATAAGCCTATTCACCACCTGTCACCATACCAGCTTATTGCAGTGGTGTTGATGGTGTTTCCCGGGCTGTACGTTTCATCCCTGTGTCTTACTTATTTTATAGCTGGGGGTCTGCACCTCTCAATACCCCTGACCCCCTTAAGTGTATTCTTAACAAACCAGAGAGTCCGAGTAGTTTTTCGTTTTTGTTCTCTAATTTAGGTATATAGAAATAAACCTTTGTCATGTTTGATGATGTACTTGTTCCCAGTCTATTTTTTCCCCTCTTTTAGTTGTAGTTTTTTTGTTTTGTTTTTGTGTGTGTGTTGTTTGTTTTTTAAAGATTTTATTTATTTCAGAGAGCGTGCGAGCGAGCACGAGCATGAATGGGGGGGAGGGGCAGAGGGAGAAGCAGATACCCTGCTGAGCAGAGAGCCCAGTGCAGGGCTCCACCAGAATCTCGGGATCATGACCTGACCTGAGCCGAATTAACCGACCAAGCCACCCAGGCGCCCCTGTTGTTTTGTTTGTTTGTTTTTAAGGCAACTTTTTATTTTGGAGCATTTCCAGTGTTACAAAAGTGTGATAGTATAGGGGCACCTGGCTGGCTCAGTCGGCAGAGCATGAGACTTTTGATCTCAGGATTGTAAGTTCGAGCCCCACGTTGGGTGTAGAGTTTATTAAAAAAAAAAAAAAAAAGAATAGTGTAGTAAATCCCCATTCACCCATCAAGCAGTTTCATGAGTTATAAACTCGTGCCTCGTCTTGTCTCATCTGTGCTCCCTCTTTGTTATTTTGAAGCAAATTTCAGACGAGATATTGTTTAATCTGTGATTATTTCAGCGTCTCTAAAAGATAGAGACTTTTTAACCATAATCACAGTTGTTTTACTTTTTACTTTTTAAATTTAGTCAAATCTGTTTGATTTGTCCTTTCATTATTTTTTTATTCCATGCTTTGAAAAGAAGGGTTTTTCTCGAAAGCTTGGCAGAGAGACGTTAGAGAAGGGTGAAGAGTCAGAGGGGAGGGGAGGGGAGGCTGTCCAGAGCGAGGCTGCTGGGTCCCATGCGTCTGGTGGGGAAGCAGGAGGAGAGGGTAGGTTTCTGGAGCCTCTCACTCACCTGCCTTTCCTTCTTGCAGGCTTATTTGTCATCATGGAGCTGCTCCACCCAGCCTTCTCTAACTGCTTCCTGCTGACCTGGGTCAGCTTATGGAGTGCTATTCCTGAAGCTCACGCTGTGTCCATGGGGACGCCAGGCATCAGTGCGGCCTTTTTCCTGCAGGACCTCCTGCATCGCTACGGGGAGGGTGACAGCCTCACCCTGCAACAGCTCAAGGCCCTGCTCAACCACCTGGATGTGGGCGTGGGCAGGGACAATGTCACCCAGCCCGTGCACGGACAGAGGAACCTCTCGACGGTAAGGCTCTCAGCTGTGCTGAGCACTGTCTGCCTCCTGGGGGGGTGGGTCACAGTCTAGTCAGACATGGGAAGCCCACGCAGCTTGGGGCAGGCGAGCCGTGATGGTAGAGCAGAGGGGCCAACTCTTCTTCCCCCATTGTCTGGGTCCCCAGCAGCACCTCCTGTCCTCCCACATAGCTGTTCTGAAGCCCTGACTGGAGGGGAGCTGTCAGCGGGAGTTCTCAGCCCTCCGCGTGCTTCCTCACGGCTGTACTGGGATCACCCGTGGGCAAGCCAGAGCTCCCGGGACAGCCGGCTTGTCTCATAGGGTTTACAGGTTACAAGGCCCTTTGCCTGCAGTCGCAGGGGAGCCTTACACTCCCTCCAGGTGCTGGGGGAAAGCCTTCGTTATTTACAAGGGAATGCCAAGGGTCCCTCAGTTCCTGGACAGTACAGGGCTAAGACCCAAGTCCTTTGGCTTCTGGTTCTCTTTGTTCTTCCATGTCATCTCGGCTAATCATAGTCTGAGGCCATTTGTGGCAGCCAAATGTAAGTCAGTCAGCAGTGTCTTTATATATCTGCTTTGTTCCCTGTGCTGAGGTGCTGCGAGAAATAGAGAAAAATGAGTCATGTTGAAGAGTTTGCTGTCAAGATGGAGAGCTTACCCACCGGAGGACAGAGTTATCTGATAAAAAAATGAAGTGTTAGGGGGGTCTGGGTGGTTCCATCGGTTGAGCGTCCAACTCTTGATTTCTGCTTAGGTCATGATCTTGGGGTAACAGGAGGGGTCGTGGGGTTGAACCCCGCTTTGGGCTTTGGGCTCCATGCTCGCCAGGGAGTCTACTCGAGATTCTCCCCCTCTCTTCCCCTCCCCCCTGCTCACTCACTCTCGTTTTCTCTCTCTAAAATGAATAAATCTTTTTTAAAAAATGAAGTGTTAAATGCTATGGGCTGGACAGTCTTCATAGGATTCAGAGGCGAGAGAGGGGGTGGGTAGGGTGTATGCTAGAGTAACCAAGGAAGGTTTGGGGGCTACGTGTCCAGGGCCTTCATCTTGAAGGAAAGCTTTTTGGAGAGGTCACATGGCCAAGGGACGAGGCAGCCTGGATGCAGACGCGCAGGTGTGTGGTGATGTTGGAGTTGGGCAGCAGGCTGCCCTCACAGGCCCATGCAGACTGACCCCAGGGGGCCTCCTGGCGCAGCAGCAGTATCGGGGTCACCGGGGTCCAGCTGTCTGCTTTGTAGGCCCAGAAGCTCTCACTTGTCAGCACACCCGGAGGGCTGTTAGAGACTGACCCATGTTAAACCAACCCAAATAAAGACTGATTCTAAGTGTATAAAGTATAATTAGAAGTAGAACTGCAGTGTTTCATAAGAACAGTATGTGAGAACTACTTACCTAACGCCTCCCAAGGGGGAGTAAACATTCATGTCCTCTACCAGCCCTTACGTGCTTCACGGTAGGTAGACTGAATCTTTAGATTTTCCTTCCTCCCCTAATCACATTCTTCAGGCTGGGGTCAACACTACATATACGGTCATGGGGACTGATGTTCCTCTTTAGGTGCCAGAGCTCAATAGCTCTGGAGAAGTATCTGGAATATGCATTTTAATATAATAACTCTTCAGGCTGTTGTGATGTGCGGGTAGATTTGGTATCTGGATGAAGCTGTATCTTCAGGTATGCAAATAGAATGTTTTCCAAAAACCACACCCTGGTCACAAAGACTGGGATTCAGTTGTTCCCAGACCTTGTGGGCAGCCAGGTACTAATGGGTGTGTGTGAGGTGTGTGACTTGCACTGGGTGACTGATCTCTGAGATTATTCATCAGTTTTTCAAGTTGAGGGACCACCTTGCTCTCATCCCTAGAGATGAGTCCGTAGGACCCCCCCCGCCCCTGCCCCGCACACCGCCCCGGGATTTGGACAGTTTCCATTTTTGTTCTCTCCTCATGGAAGGCTAGTCAGTTGCAGCAAGAGGTGACATGTGATTTTGGGTTCTGAGAGGCTTCCTGCCTCTTTCTCTTTGTCTCAGTGCTTCAGTTCTGGAGACCTCTTTGCTGCCCACAATTTGAACAACGAGTCACGGATTGGAAGGACTGAGTTCCAGGAGTTCTGCCCCGCCATCCTCCAGCAGCTGGATTCCCGAGCCTGCTCCTCTGAGAACCAGGAGAACGAGGAGGATGAGCAGACAGAAGAGGGGAAGCCGAGTGCCATCGAAGGTGAGCGGGGACACGGAGGCTGGGGCCGGTGCTGCTCAGGGAAGATCTGTCCAGCGAGCAGCTCATCAACACCGGGGGAGCGGATTAGAGGGATGGTGACCCTGGTGTCTCCCACACTCACACAACGCTCCGGCATATTGTCGGACCGGGTGGCGTGACTGGTGAACTCAGTGTGGGCTTTTGGACCGACCAGCCTGTGGATGCTTTTTTTTTTTTGGCCACTTTTTCATTTTTGTTCTCATCAAACTACAAGGGACTAATGCCTCGGTGTTTCAGTGTGGCTACCCTTGGCCCCCGTCCCCCTTTCGCGTGCCCTGCCCAGGCCCTGTGCCGCAGCCAGGGTGGACTCCCACGGCTGTGAGTGTCCGTGACTCCCGCGGGCCTGCCCGCCCCTCGGTACCTAGCATGTGCTGCCTGCATTATGCTCATTGTTGCCTGCTGTCATCATTTCACTCCTGGTTTTTAAACTTGCCTGTCGTTTTCACCTGCCTCTCCGTTGAAAAGGTAAGCTGCTTCTGAGAGCAACTGGGCTGTGTTTGTAGGCTTCCCCACAGCCCCCAGCCGGAGATGGACTCCAGTGTGTACTGACGGGTTGGTGTTCTCTGTCTGCCCCGATCGTAGCTGAATTCCTAACTGGCCGCCCCAGGCAGCAAGAACACCCCCACCCTGAGTAATGGAGGCCCTCGTCTGTTCTTGTTCCTCCACAGTGTGGGGCTTTGGCTTCCTCAGTGTTTCCCTGATTAACCTGGCCTCTCTCCTGGGAGCCCTCGTCCTGCCGTGCACGGAGAAAGCCTTTTTCAGCCGTGTGCTCACATACTTCATCGCCCTGTCCATTGGAACGCTGCTCTCTAACGCGCTCTTCCAGCTCATCCCAGAGGTGCAGTAGAACAGAACTCATGCGCCCTCTTTCCCTGGGGGCCGGCCGCTGCGCCGCCCCTACCCCGTGTCCCGAGGCACCCGACAGTTGCCGCCTGGAAAATTCACTTCTCCCTCATATCAAGGGACACAAATACGTCTTCTGACTCTGGATCTCGAGGGCCTTCTCTCGCTCCTGGGGCACCCAGGTTGGCCTGTGGCCTCCTCAGGTGATGTCAGATGCAAGGCTCTCCCCATTTGCCCTCCCTGTCAGAGATCTGTCAGCCTGCCTTCCCCAGGCCCTGCCTCTCCAAAGCCCGGTTTGCGGGGCTCTGAGGGAATGCTGCAGCTGGTGGTCGCTGTCCAAGCCCTGGTACTCCGTACCCGCTCTGTTCTAAGCAGAGGCCCTGGCAGTACTCAGGTGTGGCCACCACGAGACCACCCACCCGGAAGGAAGTGGAAGGAAAAGAGGCCACCAGCTGATCGATAGAATTGGGCTCAAAAGCAAATGATCTTTTCTTTTTTTCCCCAAGTAGGCCATAATTCATACCATAGAGAGCCCAACAGAAGAAAAACCATTTAACAAAAACAAATGAGATGAAAATTCCAAGACAAAGGAAAAGGCACTCAGTCCTTCATACCTTGCATCTTGACTTTTTCCTGGGATAGGACTGACTTCCTGGTGCCCTTACTTGACTGTTTTGAAATATTTGTTAATTTTGCTTTTTAATTGTGACCACTGAGGAGCTAAAAAAAATAAGACCCAAGTTGACAGTCTGCCCACTTTGTCAGCTGAGGCAGGGCTGTGCCCATGTAGTAGGGGTGACTGTGTGGACCTCCTTTGGGGAACAGGGGCGCTGCCTTTCATAAAAAGAGTCTGTGTCAGTGACTCCCCAGCCTTTCCCAATCAAAAGACTTACCCAGAAGCAATTGTTGATGGGATGCCCAGGCCTTGCCTGTTCCTTCCAAATGAGAGAAGAAATCTGGTTTAAGAGGAACCATCTCAGTGTTACCTAAAAATCCCACATTACTCGAATAAGCACTTCTCACGGGAGGCCTCATCTTGGTCTTTTTTTTTCAGCTCCAGAAATTGAATTTATTAATTCTTTAAAGATTTGAAATAAAATGCCATATTGCCTGTTGAATGGAAATATAATAATTGTACATGCTCCGCCCCTGTGGCTCACAGGGTCCTAGCTCCATTTCATCCTACCTGGAGTGTGGGACACTGGGAAATAACGGAGGAAATATTCTTTGTGACAAGGTGACCTTGGAACTCTGTCCTCTATGCTGGAGCGCTCTCAGAGCAAATGGAAACAAACTTGGGAGGAAAACAAATCAAAACAAAAAAACCCCTGAGAAGTTAAGAAACGGAATGTTATGGGCCTCGGTTTTGCCTGTTCTCCATCCCGCTGCCATGCACATCTGACTTTGTTGTGTATCTTGCGCCGAGCCTGCCGAGCGCAGGTGGTGAATGTGCCTATACGGCGTGGTCCGGGTGTGAAAAGCAAACACGGCAGCACAATGAGCTCTCTTTGTCCCCTTGGTCTTGTTTCCTGTTAAAGAGAGAGCCCTCGAGTCCAAAGTCTGCCATGGGCAGCCTGTGGCCAGGGCCTAAGCACACCTCTGTGGTGTGATGAGGCAGTGTCCCGCCCTGTAGCCACACCAGCTGCCAGGTGCGCCTCCAGGTGTCCCTCGGGCCACCAGGGGGTTCCAAGGCCACCTTGAATTCCTCCTCATTTCTTCTGAACTGATTGAAGGAAATTTCATCAGACTTGAATCACTAACAAATTTTCTGTTTCTCTCTCCCTCCCTACTTGTCTCCCTGATTTTACTTTTTTGTTTCCTTGTTAATATCCACCCAAACCTCCCGCATTGCCTCCCCATCCTTTCCACCCCATGTTTCCCCTAAATGGTGGTTGCTGTGAAATGGCCCATTGGCCCTTGTCCCTGTCCTGGGTGGGGCTGGCTCTCCCCCAACGGCAGTGTGGGGATACGGTCTCCTCTGTGTGACTGTCATCTCCCTCTGCTCCCTCATGGGGGCCAGCGTGGTGCCCTTCATGAAGAAGACTTTTTACAAGAGGCTGCTGCTCTACTTCATAGCTCTGGCGATTGGAACCCTCTACTCCAACGCCCTCTTCCAGCTCATCCCCGAGGTATGGCAAGCCAGGACTTTCCCACACAGGAGCATGCCAGTCTCTGGCGGGGGGACTGTGGGGCACAGCGGGAGGACCCTCCACTTCGACACAAGGAATAGGAAGGAGGAGGTCCTTTACTTTTAGAAGTCACAAGTGAGGAGAGGCTGCATAGCATAGGTTTTGGGAGCTGGGTTGGAATCCCAGCTCCACCTTCGACAAGTTCGGTGACCTTAGGCAAATCACCGAACCTCTCTGTGTTTCTGTTTCCTCTTGCAAAATGGGGGAGATGATCAGACTGACCTCATGACGGCGTTGTGAGGGCTACATGAGTTAATGCTTGTAAAGCACTGGGGGCCCAGTACATGCTCTAACTGCTGAGTGATAAGATGTAGTGTAGTGAGATCACTTTATGGCTCCTGACTGGGAGCTTGTGGCACACACAGAAAAACCGGCAGAATCCATAGGTCTCAATAAAAAGATCTGTTCTCTGCAGTAGGTGATCTTGGGGCAAACAAAGGTGGTCTAAATAAAACAGCCTGGTTTCACATACATGGACGGCACCTTTGCCCCATTGCCTAGCTCAACGAGAAAATCTCCACGGAACAGGAGCAGCTCAGTGTTTGTCAGGTCTGGCAGGCAGCCTTGGAGAAGCTTCATCTCTGCAGTAGTCCCACTAATGACAGTAAGCAGGAGGAATCTCCTTATAGGGGGTCTGACAGGCCCGGGCACATAGCCAGAGGGGAAGCACAAAGATGACGCTACATGCTTCTTCTCAGAGCACCTTATGTTTTCTAAGATGTGCTTTTGTGTCTTCTTAGTTGATTCTTAGATCAACTGATGCCTAGAGAACAAGTAATCCTTTGCCCATTTAACAGATACAGAACAAGAGCACATATCCTAGAGGCCGGGTTTCATAACTCCTAAAGCCATGCTTTTGTACTCTGCCATCCTTTGTGGCTTTTTGTGGAGAACTGTTAGTTGACGGTTTTCACTCCACTCTTCTTAAGATGATTTGTCTCTCCTGGAAAGTCGGCCTGTATGTGTCACTTCTACTCTAGAACTTGACCTTTACGTCTCTGAGGAAGAGGTCTCTGTGTGTTTCCTCTGAGGAAACAATACAAGCAAGTAGAGATGCAGTTTGCCCCTTTAAAACAGAAAGGAAAAAAACACTCACCTTTTAAGCGGCCCAGAGTTCCTGGTACTTAGGATCACCATCACCTTTGACTTTTTCATGAGAAGGCTGGTTTATTCAAGAGGGTTGTTTCCTGTCCGAAGATGAAGAGAGCAGGTCACCGGCCAGTTTCCCAAGGCCTCACAAGTCAGGAGCATCATGGAGTGTGGAATTCTCCTGATTCCTACTCCAGTCTTCTTCTTCCCAATAGATTTTGTTTTTCCCCCCATGATCAGTGAACTTTCCAGAAATAGCCCAAAACAAGCCCCCACCCCCAAATTGACATGTGCAGTAACACAGTCTGCTCTCTTGGCTTTGTGGTCACTGGGAGGTCTGTGGTCAGGAAGATGCCGCAATTCTTAACTATTTAACTGGGGAATGGATTTCCCATTTTAGAAAGTGTAATTATACCATCTCTCTTTGGGTTTATAGGCAGATTAGCCAGGGACATTAGATAACAATGAAAATAAACACAAGCGTCTTCTTAAGTATGGAATTTGCGGGCAGATTCTGCCCTTGTAGCAAAGCACCAGGAAAAATGAAGACAGAGTCTTTACTAAAAGTAGAAAACCATATCCAGGGCTGTTCTTCCTGAGAGTAAAATTCTAAAGAGGATCCATCTTTTGCATCAGAAAATAAGCTAGAGAGAAGCGGACAGGCCTGGTGATGTGGCATGAAGGCAAGTCAGGGGATCGGTTCGGCTGGAAAGGGAAGGAAGTGGTAGGTGGCAGAGCTATCCCAGTGAGTACGTCTCTTTCCTTTCCTAGAATCAAGGAAGTGGTTAAGAGACGAGAGGGGACCCGTGAAGATTTTTTTTTTTTTTCCTTAAACTCACTTTGTTTTCCTGGGTCCGCAGGCTTTTGGCTTCAACCCTCTGGAAGATTATTATGTCTCCAAGTCTGCAGTGGTGTTTGGGGGCTTTTATCTTTTCTTTTTCACAGAGAAGATCTTGAAGATGCTTCTTAAGCAGAAAAATGAGGTGAGGCCTAATTGTTGGGAAAGGCAGTGCTTCTAGGGAAAGCATCCATCCTAGAAACGTTTGTGTGTCTCGGTAGTGGGGTTACCTGAGCACCCGAGGCAGTGAACTTACGTGCTATCCCCCCCCCATCCCCTACCCCCACCGTGCTGTGGACGGATTTCAGGAGTATCTCACCTCCTGCAGATGTTAGCAAGGGGTGAGGACAGACCAGAAACCGGATCTGGCCTGTGTGACTCTCTCCCCTTGTTTCATTCGAGATCATTTCTTTAATATATCTTTGGTACCTTTAAGCGGTGAGGGAGGGGCTTGATACATAGAGTCATTGGGTAGGAAGTACCACCACAGTGAAACCTGACGCTTATTGCAGTATAGCTCCAAAAAGGTGTCTTTGGTGCCTGCGGTTAACCTCTAAATAGTTGCCGAATGCAATCAAGGTAGCTCTTGCCGAGGCGGATCTCTAAACCTTCCTAGCTGGGAGGGCCGCCTCGCTGGAACGACTGTTGGCCCTGAGGTCACTGCTTTGATTTCTGCCCCGCACCAAACTCTTCCGTTCACCTTGGTTCAGTTTCTATAACAATTGTCCCTAGGTTTCTGTGTGTATTGCCTGCTTGTGTTTTCTCTGATGGTGGGAATGAAGAGGTCTTCCCAGGGCTGGGATTACCTACCCCGAGTGAGTGCTTAGGAGGTTTTGTGGTTTGGGTGAGTGTCGTGTTAATCCCTCCCGTTGGTCCCTCTAGCATCATCATGGACATAGCCATTATGCCTCTGAGACACTTCCTTCCAAGAAGGACCAGGAGGAGGGCGTGACCGAGAAGCTGCAGAATGGGGATCTGGACCACATGATTCCTCAGCACTGCAGCAGTGAGCTGGATGGGAAGGCCCCCGCGATGGACGAGAAGGTCATCGTGGGCTCACTCTCCGTCCAGGTGAGTGGGCTGTCTGCTCTTGGGTGGGAGCCCTTAGTAATGGCCTTGATGGCTCAGGCTTACCTTGAAGGTCTATCCTTTGACCCGGGGGCCATGGGGATGGGCTCTCTTGTAGGACCTGCAGGCTTCCCAGAGTGCCTGTTACTGGTTGAAAGGCGTCCGCTACTCTGATATTGGCACTCTGGCCTGGATGATCACCCTGAGCGACGGCCTCCACAATTTCATTGATGGCCTGGCTATCGGTGCCTCCTTCACCGTGTCTGTTTTCCAAGGCATCAGTACCTCAGTGGCCATCCTCTGTGAGGAGTTCCCACACGAGCTAGGTGAGTGTGCCGGCTCTGCGCCCGGCCCGCCTGCGCGGCCTTGGTTGTTGGCACAGCACCCCTCCTGTGTCCGACCCCCTCCCCCGCCAAACTTCAGCATGCTTAGTATAATTAACACATTCTGTGTGCTCTGTGAAATCTAACCACTAATTCTGAACAGTTGAATTAATAATTGAAATCGATCATTGAAAATGATGGAGATTTTAAAGGTTTTATTTATTTATTTTGGATAGAGAGTGCAAGCCGGGGGGTGGGGGCCAGAGGTCGAGGTAGAGAGAGAATCTTTTTTTTTTTTTTTAAGATTTTATTTATTTATTTGAGAGAGAGAGAATGAGAGATAGCACGAGAGGGAAGAGGGTCAGAGGGAGAAGCAGACTCCCCGCTGAGCAGGGAGCCCGACGCGGGACTCGATCCCGGGACTCCAGGATCATGACCTGAGCCGAAGGCAGTCGCTTAACCAACTGAGCCACCCAGGTGCCCCGGGAGAGAGAGAATCTTAAGCAGACTCCCTGCTGAGCACAGAGCCCAGCAGAGGGGCTCTGTCCCAGGACGCCAAGATCATGAGCTGAGCTGAAATCAAGAGTTGGACGCTTAACCAACTGAGCCACCCAGGCGCCCCAGAAATGATGGAGATTTTTATAGGGGTGTTGGTTTCCCTGTAGCCCCATATCCTGTGGCTCAGTTTCCTCACCTCTAAAATGGGGTTAATAATAATGCTTCATAGATTTTTCATGAGGATTAAAGGGGCAAAAACAGTGAAGAGGACTTGCTATGTGCCATAGAGTATTCTAAGTGTTCAGTATAGGTTATCTCTCTCTCTTTTTCAGGTTATGTCTTCCATCCTATTAATCTTCCAAAAGTTGAGATGTCTGTTAGAGGTCAGGTGGGTGGAAGAAGTAGATGAGCCAGGAGTTAGAAGGTCCTTAGTTTTATCAGAGGAGCAAGAGTGTGAAAGGCCCAGACTTCGGAGGCTCAGAGACTCAAGGTCAAGTCCTGGCTTTGCCAATTTACTGGCTTGTGACTTTGGACAAATTATTTAACTTCTTTCAGTCTCACTTCTGTTTCCTGAAAATACCATTCAGTGTAGTTGTGAGGAAAGAAGCTCCTTCTGTTTCATCATCCATCAAAAGAGCAGTGAGGCTATTGCTAGTGGCTTATCTACGTTGAAAGTCTTGTGCGTTATTTTCAGCCTCTAGGCTGGAAATACACGGCTAGTTTTGTAAATGGAGCCAGCTCCGAGATGTGAAGAGGAAGTCTGTCTTGATTGTTCCCCCAGACGTTAGGCATAGTGGAAGCAGTCTGTCCTCATCATGTTCTCTGCCCGTGACCTAGCGTTAACTCTCCCACGCCCTTCCCTCTTGTTGTCCTGCCTTAGGAGACTTTGTCATCCTGCTCAATGCTGGCATGAGTATCCAGCAGGCTCTCTTCTTCAACTTCCTTTCTGCCTGCTGCTGTTACGTGGGTCTGGCCTTTGGCATCCTGGCTGGCAGCCACTTCTCTGCCAACTGGATCTTTGCACTGGCTGGAGGAATGTTCTTGTACATCGCTCTGGCTGATATGGTAAGTCTTCCATAGTTCATGCCATGTAGGCAAAATGGGACTGGGTTATTCACTGGACGGGAAGCAGCTGAGAGGACATGAGTTAGTTTGTTCTTAATAACAGCTTTATTGAGGAATCACTCACATACCACACAGTTCACCTATTTAAGGTGTGTAGTTCAGTGCTTTTTTTTTAAAGATTTCTCCTTTTTCATTTGAGACCGAGCAAGAGAGAGAGCATGAGTAGGGGGAGGGGCAGAGGGAGAGGGAGAAGGGGCCTGATGCGGGACTTGATCCCGGGACCCCAGGATCATGCCCTGAGCCGAAGGCAGACATTTAACCATCTGAGCCACCCAGGCGCCCCTGGTTCAGTGCTTTTTAAGAGGACATTGGATTTTAAAGGACAAAAAACTTACCAGCATGTGTTATTAAAGAAAAGGATTAACCTCATCTCCACAGTCCTCCTTTAAAAATACTTAAGTATTACAGAATGGATGCATATAGATAAATGAAGAGAAGGGAGGAGGGAAAGGAAATGAACCCTGAATATACAATTTTATGTTCGCATTTGCTCTTATACTTAACATACCCTAGACATTTTTCACTTTGCATATCCTTTAGAAGCATCCTTTTCAATGGCAGTATTTTTTGGTGAGAGGATAGACCTTATCTAGAACTAGAATTGCTGGCTCAGAAAGGATGCCTTGTGGTTTGAGCTTGTAACGAGTGTTGCTGTTCTCGGCAGCGTCAGGCAGCACACATGGTTTCATACCCGCCAACGTTTGGTGTAACCCTTCTAAGTTAGCTTGGAGTTGGCTAATGAAATAACCTGATTGGTTACATCTTTTGTAGAACACGGGTGATTTCTTTTCTTGTTTGTTGGCATGACGTGTTCTCTGGCATGTTTGCACGAATGATTTCCCGTATCCTTTGAAAACGATACTTTTGTTGCAATGATGAGAGTGGTGACCACCATGGCCCCTCCTCACCCCTGGAAAACATTTTAGATTCTCTCTTCTTGTGGGGAGCCCTCCCATGGTGAGGATAGTCTTCTGCTTGCATTGCTCGAATTCGGAGCTCTGCTCATGGTCACCCGCCTTGCTGGCCCGCCGCTGGGGGGCCTTGAGTCACAGCGATGTCATAGCTCCAGGCTCTGGTTCCTTACACAGTTGCTCAATTTCCCAAAGAGGGGGCAGTGGCATTTTGGTAACAAAAACATCTTCTGAAGTGTTTTTCAAGTGCACAAAAAACAGTTGATTTTTATCAGAGCAGTTATTTTTAGCCAGCATCTACATCTATCCAAGGCTCCATGCGCGGATAAATACTTGGTTTTACCTCAGTAGTTGAAAAGTCGCGGTAGCCACCTTGGACCACAGCTGGAAAGGCTATTGCTGCTGATTTGTCTTTGTGAATGCGTTCTATCTAATATCCATATGTCTCAGTTACATATTCTGTCTCTAGAACAGTTATAACGATCTATGCCATTACGTTGTAATCCTGTATTATATGGTAATTATTGTGCTCATGTTCTAATATAAATACATTTAGGAATAGGTATTATAATGATGATTCAGTGTGCTCTGTCTCTCTTACGGAACTGTCCTGGGCTGCCCAGGTTGAGAAAGGAACTGCAGCTCTCTTGTTTTTCTCCTCTTCTCAGTTCCCTGAGATGAACGAGGTCAGCCAAGAGGATGAAAGGAACGGCAGCGTCTTGGTCCCCTTCGTCATCCAGAACCTGGGCCTCTTGACTGGCTTCACCATCATGCTGGTCCTCACTATGTATTCGGGACAGATCCAGATCGGGTAGGGCCCTGCCAGGAGCCAGCGGGATTGGAAGCTGGCCCTCGGCCGCCTGGTCCCTGGCCCTCGGCCGCGGTGCCCACGATGCACCAGACTGTGACACGGACTGTACTCCTGCATTCACATGTCAGCTGTTTTTACACATGCTCTGTCCTAGGAATAAGCCGCCCTGGCAACCAGGCTCTAGGTAGTGCCTCTCCCTCCCTCTCCCTTCTTTCTCAAAGTGACCCTGGAACCGGAATGCAGCTTCCTTAGCAGGCAAGCCTCACTTTTTTCTCTGGCTACCCTGGCCTCTTTCTCCTCAAACCAGCAGCGAGAGATTTTGCGTCCTTGCCCTACGATGCAGAAACACTGCCAGTGCTTGTGACTTGGGTAGCAGTAGCAGGAGGTGAGTCTCTGGTTGCAGGGCCCCTGAATCTAACTGTGTGTCCTGGACCTCAAGATGACCCATTTTGAAATAAATTCACCTGTTTTTCCAGAGAAAAGGTACAGGAAGCAAGAATCCCTCCTATTTTTTCAAAGTCTGTCCAGTTGCCTGGTTTTTCAGAGAGAACTGAAAGTTGGAACACGTCGTGTAGGGCAAGAGAGGAGGCAAGGATCATCCTGGGGTTGGGGGGGCGGATAGAAGTGATGGCTGTGTCCCTGGCCCCCCCCCCCCCCACACACACACACATCCCGGACGATGGTGTTGTGGCCGCAGGGCTGAGCCAGCGCCCCCCGCTGGTGGAATGCTGTACAGGGGTCAGTTGCCTAGACCTCCTTCCCTTCTTTCACATTAACACCTACAGAATGGAAGGCGGAGAATGGAGACCTGCAAGAAATCAGTTGGTTTGCTCTGATTTCCACCTCCCCTTCCTCCCCCTCTCCCATCTTCTGAGAGTTATTTTATCTGCCTCCCTAGAAGCACATTTACAATCTTGTATCAGAGGGGAGACTGCACAAATTTCCCTCCCCTGGTCAGTACTTCTGCTGCAAAGTGGCACGTTTCCTTCCAGAATTGGGTGCAGCTCATGCGCTTCTTAGACAAAGGTGATCAGAAATGGACTTGGTGCAGGCCCAGCTGCACCTTTTGTTGATTGCATAAATAAAAGTACAAGTAATGGAAGACGGGGCCCTGCAAATGCTTGCTGAACAGGGGCTTCCGGATGAGGCACTGTGAGTGGATTTTAGGTCCCCCTTCCTCCCTCACCCCAAGCGGGAAAGGGCGAATCCTATATTGCATTGAACATTAATCGCTCTAACCCTCTTCAGAAGATGGATTGATAGACTTGTCTGTGAGACTGTAGGCCAGCCCCAGGCACTGTGGAGCCCTCTCCTCAGAACTCTGGCTTCAAGGGGAGCTCATCTCCAGGTTCACTAGGTGAATTGATTTATTATTATCATATTGATAATGTGAGATTCTTTAGCCACTTTGGGGAGCCAGTCTCTCCAGAAGCCTTTCTTAGTGGTGCCCACAGTAACAGCCCAGGGGCTGTGTTCACTAACTGATTTGTGTGCATGACTGACGAGTGCTGGTCATGGCCAACACCTGTGAGTTTTTCTGTTCTTACACAGGAAGACTTTCCACTGTACAGTAGTTAAAAGCCGCGTCTATTTTGTTTTTGGTTTTTTTTCTTCTTGGGAAATGGCCCTCAAACCAGGAATAGTCTTGAAAAGAGTATGAGCGGGAAAACTGCTGGCGATGCTTTATACATTTTTCTCCTTCTCTTGCCTGTTGACTTGGATAGATTTGAGAATGGGCTGAAGAAGAAGGAAAACTTGAGTTCTCAAGATTCTAGAGTAAATATCAGGACTGACTCCTGATAGGATTATAGTCCAGTTTTACCAAAGAACCAATTCCTTGAATGTTGGAATCTAACTTTTTATATTATCATTATTTTTATTATTGTTGTTACTGTTTTAAAACGGTTCTCTGTCTTTTCTGTTTTATTTTTCTCGGTGTCTGACATTGCTTTCAGGAGCTAGTAGCAAATAACACTCAAACCTTGAAGACTTCACCAAGATTTTTCTTTCCCTAATTCACACGGATATATGAAATTTGTAATTTTAGCATTCCCTGTAGACCTGTCATTCCTACAAATACTGTTCTTCTCGGAGTGGGACCGTAAGTTAGAGTTAGTGGGTCCTAGTTTTAGGAGAAGAGCTTGAAAATGTAATTGTTACCAACTTAAAAAAAATAAAGTATGAAGTACTAGGGTGCTTTCCCTTTTCAAGCACACTATATTAAGAACTTTCCTTTCATAGACAGCTGCCTCAAAGGGAAATCCTCTTTAAACTGTAATTGGTCCAGAGGCCAGTGCTGGCTGGAACTTGGTTGGGGTGGAGCCCCGCGAGTAGTCAACTGAGTGTCTGTTCCCACTGGTGGCAGATTCACCTCATGAGTTGAACATGTGGCGATTCCCTTTTGACTTTTAGCTCTTGGATTTGCTGTTTTAAGCATTTGTACATATTAGAAGTCTGAGGAGTAGCAAGTTTTGAGATCTTGTTCACCCCTGGCATTAGCGTCTCCCACGTCTTTCCCCAGGTGACCAGCTCCTAATGTTAGCAAGGAAAGCATATGTCCCGTGCAGGAGCAGTGACCTGGGAGCAGGCAGCTTGCCTTCTGTCCTTGCCCCCAGACGCGGTTAGTATCTCTTGTGTCTAGTGTCAGCGTGAGGCTTTCCCTCATTGGTCCTTCACCCTGGGTTTAAAAGAGAAGGCATCTCTGTTGGGTATCCTAAGACCTGTCTGTAGTTAGTCCTCTTCCAAAGAGATGGTAGTGTTCTGGAAATCTGCTTAAAAACAAAAAGCTGTCTGAGTTTTGCAAAAAGAGAGGTTAAGCTTTTGTTGTTCATCTTTCCTTTTACAGTTCTGAAGTTCCATCACAGTATTTTTTTAAATAACTCAGGTGTTATGAGGATAAACTAGAAAAGAAAATAACTTATGTGGACTGTAAATGTTTTATTTGTAAGATTCTATAAATAAAGCTATATTCTGTATTGCTGAATCCCAAGTGTGATCTTTTACAGGAATGGGGGTGTAATGGGGACTGGGGGACACAAGGTGGCGATAGCGTCACGCTGACGTCTAAAGCTTGCTTTTCCTGCTCCTGCTCACATTTGGACAAGGGATTTTAGACGGAACCTTCGATATCATAACCTGCTCACTTTAAAATGATTTAGGGGCACTTGGCTGGCTCAGTTGGTGGGGCATGCGACTTTTGACCTCAGGGTTGTGGGTTTAAGCCCCATGTTGGGGGTAGAGATTACTTCAAAATACATCTTTTTTAAAAAAAATGAAAAGAAAATTATTTATCTCAGATGGAGCCTGTGGCTTCACTGACATTGCACGCTGGAAGAACCTGTCCCCGCTGTTATCCCTTGTGTACGTCCAGGACTTGAATGAAACTTGAACCACATCTCCTGTATGTCTTACAGGGGGAAATCCAGTCATGGGACCTAAAAGTTTAAACCTTTTCTTATTCCAATTTAGTCCCAGGGCCAGGGATCAGTTGTTTTTCTTCCACAACAAAAATGAGCAGTAAGGGAAAAGAATTGATGGGATCTTATCACCACACTAGTGATTCCCAAATGCTTATCGCTCAGTCCTCCCATTATTTCAAACTCAAGCAGAATATATTAAATAGCTCATACCGGTCTTCTCTAAAGTGCATTAACTAGCTACGCTGTGGGGCTGCCATCTGCTGGCCTTCTTCAGAATGACTGTCGCTCCATTCTTCGGCACGTGTCGCCTGTGGAGAGCCTTCCCAGGCTGGCGGCCGTCAGTTACTGGACTTGCGTTGTAATCAGTCTTCATACACTGCGTTCCTCCTGGGTGGAGCCTGTATCTGGTTTCTCGCTGGGATTTCAGCCCCTGCCACACAGGAGGAATGAATGAAGAAAACCAAATGAAATGCCTGAAAGGGCTGTGAAAACAATCCTTTTCCACTGGCAACCGTTCGAGTAGGGTTTTTCTGTCTTTGCTGTTGGTTTTGCTTATGCCTTGCTACCTGGCTCTCCTCTGTTTATTTACTTTTTTTTTTCTTAAATTTTTTTTTCAGATTTTATTTTTTTTAAGTAATCTCTGTGCCCACCGTGGGGCTCAAAATCCTGACCCCGAGATCAAGAGTCACATGCTCTCCTGACTGAGCCAGCCGGGCGCCCCTGGTCCTCCTTCATTTAGAAACAGATTTGAGAGTTGAATTTGTGGCCCCTGTAGAACAGAGCTAAGCGAAGTAAACAAGTCCTTCAGGAGTTTAGGACTTAGATCTTAGCCCATTCTTTGTAATGCTCTTAACCAGGTAGGCCATTTAGGACCTTTTTGGTGGAAGGTGAATGCCCTTCTCCTCTATCACCTTGCTTCGAAAAGCAGACTCTACCATTCAATGATGCTGAGATCTGATTTGAACAAAACCCTTTTCAAGAAATAATAAAGACACCAAATGTGGACAAAGGGGTTTTGATTTGTGGGAAAACAAAATGTTCATCTCTTTTTTTCTTTTAAGATTTTATTTTTAAGTAATCTACACCCACCGTGGCGTCAAACCCACAATCCCAAGATCAAGAGTCACATGCTCCACTGACTGAGCCAGCCAGGGGTCCTGTCCCAGTGCTCATCTTTTTTATTATTTTTTAAAAATTTTACTTACTGGGGTGCCTGGGTGGCTCAGTCGGTTGGGCATCTGCCTTTGGCTCAGGTCATGATCCCGGGGTCCTGGGATCGAGCCCCGGATCAGGCTCCCTGCTCAGCGGGGAGCCTGCTTCTCCCTCCCTCTGCCTGCCACTCCGCCTGCTTGTGCGTGCTCTCTCTGACAAATACATAAATAAAATCTTTAAAAAAAATTTTTTACTTATTTATTTGAGAGAGAGTATGAGCAGGGGCAGAGGGAGGGGGACAAGCAGACTCCCCATTCAACCCCAGGACCCTGAGATCATGACCTGAGCTGAAATCAAGAGCCGGACACTTAACCAACTGAGCCACCCAGGTGCCCCAATGCTCATCTGTTTTAGACACTCTTCATGATTTAGTGTGAAATGCCTAGACTTCAGAAGAATGACAGGTTCAGATCCCAGCAGAAGTGAATCCCTTTCATTCTTCTGGCATAAAATGAATTAACATTCCATTTAAAGAAGAAAATACTGGTGGTTGGAAAAGATTCATCCGTCTCAGTCTTTGGTTAAGTACATTTAGAGCTGATGGCCAAAAGACATTTTTCTTACTAAGATCACAACCCCTTCTTGCCAGATGCCTATTCATGGTGGTTTTGAGGGGCCCCGGGGTAAGCTCCACACCCAACATGGAGCATGAACTCATATCTCCAAGATCAAAAGTCACATGCTCTACTGACTGAACCAGCCAGGCGCCCCTCGTGGTTTATTTTAAACAAAGGAAGGGAGTTAATAGAGACCATCGTCTGTCCCTGTAGAACAGCAATCTTTGACCCTGGCATTAGGGGGGATTTTGCGATGGTAGCATCAATTATAGTCAGGGAGTAACCACAAAGTGTTCTGACACCACCTGTCATAAGCCAAGAAGCGGTTCTTCCACTTGGATCTGGGTTTTTTTTTTTTATTTCTCTGGTTTGCTTATAGTTTTTTGGAACATGAAAGATAAACTCAGGCAATAATCCATATGGGTTTTTGCACATGTTACACATGTAGAAAGCC